ATCTAATTTTTTTATTATTATTTTTGTCTTCATGCCAGAGCCGTCCTAATAAGATATTTGGCGCCCTTGGGCTACTAAAAATAATGTGCCTCTCATAAGAAAATACATGAAACGGAAAGCGGGGATAGAGTAAGCTTTTACAAAAATTAAAGAGTTAATACAGGGCAATTCAGATAAGATAATGAGCCTGACGATCTGCTGATGCAACCCAAAACACAAATTTTATTTACGTCTTGATCTAATTTCAATTAAGATTTGCATTTGCAATCCATTTCTCTATCATTCCGCGTAAACTGAATGGCACGAATGATCGTTCCCTGCGCTGATGTCCGAATGACATAAGATGATAACTTGGATTCAATTTGCAATTTCTAATTTAAATTGGATTAAAGGCGTAAATGAAATTTGTTTTTTGATTTGCATCGCCAGATCGTCAGGCTCTGAACTGTCCTGTATACAGAGTGCCCCAGCGAATTGGTAAAGTTTATAATTGACGTATGTCGCACAGTAGTTCGTATGTTAGCTAGATGTCAAAAACAAAATATTATATAGGACATTAATCTAGTGCATCGCCTGAAATTATTTTCAACAATATTTTTTAAATAAAACACCATATTATGTTTCTTGGAATTTTTGGATGAAACTTTTTATTACAATGTCTTTAAAAGATAAGCTTCTATTGAACGATTTTACACAGTTTTTGAAATAAGTTGTTTTTCTGACAAAAATACAGAGTGTTTCACATAATTTTTCGAGGCCTGCGCCTGTAAGATGCAATCAATAATATATATTCCGATACGAACTCGATTACAAATTTTTAAAAATTGGATAATATTTTTTGTATCCAGTGTTTTGTGACTTTTGTATATTTGGTTGCGTACACCGTGTATACTCGTTTTAAAAATGTATTTATTACACAAAAACTAAGACAGATAGAAACAACGAAATGACTACTGCAAAAAGAAATACAAACTTTAAGGGTCTAACAGTTTTTAATCGCATTTTTTGTGAAGACAAAAAAAGTAGAATTTTGTAAAAACATACTTTAAATAACTGATCTTTGTTTTTTTTTTTGTTTGTTGTTTTAATTTTAATATCATCATTATATTTAACTTTCAGTTCTCTAAATTTATTTATTTTTTATATTTTCTTTGAGGTTAGTTTAATTCCAACTTAAATAGTTTAAATGAAATAGCCTATTTTTTGTTTTTGCAACTAATAATAGATTGTTGAATTGTCTATTTAAAACATACTTTTAAATGTCTTAAATCTCTTAGATGCAAAATCAATAAATAGGATGTTTTGACAAACTTCTTAATTTTTTATCTTTACAAACAAAGTGTATGACTACCAAGCAAAATTGCCACTCTAAAAGGCTGGCGCTCCGGGGCTGTAGCCCGTTTAGCCATGTGGTTAGGGTGGCCTTGGTTCATGTTTCGCTTACTTTGACTTATACAGTGCGATTAAAAAGTATGTCTATCAAGCAAGCATAGAAATTTAAAACGTGTGTCGTGACAAATAAGAAATCTCATTTTAGATGTTTTGATAATTCAATTTGCTTAGATCAATATTTCAATTTTTATAAAAGAATTTTTTGACATCTAGCTAACATACGAACCACTGTGCGACATACATCCTCAACTAGTACGCCTACTTGATAGAAAGACTTATTTTTGATCGCACTGTATCCGTTATATCAGAATTTATAATACGAGTAAATTGTTGTTATTGTTAACATTGAATGGTTGCAAAATTGCAAAAAAATAGTATATAAACCTGGCTTCAAGGCGCTACAAAATCCTACTTTACTTTACATTGTAAATAACTATTACAACACTCGATTATCGTATTTGCGCTTATAAATACGGTCATGTTGCTTGCATGGACGCTTATCTAACAAGTTTCATAACAAAATCAATTTCTTGGTATGTCAGTCAGTTGCAGATAAGTATCGAGAACTTACTTGGAATATCGCTTACCTTTGCCATTTAAGTGTTTCTAAACAACAGCTGTTCTCATAATGGGAAAATTCGTTGTAAAAATTGATTGGCATTAAAACAATACACAATATTCCTTAGGTTATTTACCAATAATATTTTATTTTATTTCCTCTTATACGAAATAGCAGTTGCATCGTTATTTTGGTAATAATTTTAAGAAAATAATGCGATCAATGATATGCTTAAAGTACCTCCACGAACAACCGTATAAAATGCCCATATAAATTTTTACGAAAGTCGTTAATACTTACAAGAATGTTTTAGCCAATATAGACAATGAGTTCTACTACTGACATTCTGTTTACTGGAAGTGAATTAACGGGCTTATTTATTAAGTTTATACAGTTTTAATGGCCCGTTGCATTTGCGGTTATAACCATATTTTATCTTATAATGATTCTTGCGAATATACTGGCACAGGAGATGCTAGTTTTATGCAAATTTGAGGTCAATTTATCACAAAATTGATAAATATACCTAACTTGCTTCTATTCAAAGTAACAACTTTTTTGTTAAAAATAATAAAAATGTTACCCCGTGTTATATGTCTTGCTTGAAAAACGAAAATTCCTCAAGTGATTTTTATCCATTTATATGTATAACACCCTGGATATAGTCTGTGTTTTTAACGGAAACCACCAAATGAATGTTTTGGTGAATTGATAGCCAAAAATTTTGTTTTTATCTCTAGAAATTTTGCTGAAAAATTATGATTATGTTTTCATGTTGAAATATTGTCAAAATTTTGATTTTTATAAATTTTGTGTGTTTGTTTGCTCTTTGAAAGCATTATAATCGTATACCTAAGAATAAACATTACTACTTATTATCTAAAGATAGAATTCCGGGTTAAATACTATTGATAGAAACACACTGCAAGTAAATAAGTACAATGTTATGGGCAAAAATAAATTTCTTGCTACAAAAACTATAATAAAAAGAGTGTGTATAGTATGAACAAAAGTTATTTTGCAAAAAATACAAGCTGGTATTATAAATTTTGATAATAAATTTATTGAAATGATCTCGAAGTTGATGCATGTTCTAAATTCTTTTTCAGCTTTAGTTCTTTAGTTCTTTTTTAGCATTAGTGACCTTTAATTAGTAAAATTTAAAAAACTTATATAAAACATTGATAGATGATACTAATCTAGTTTATCGCCTAAAATTATTTTCAACTATACATTGTATCCCAAAAATAGGTTACAATATAATCTTGTGTTTTTTTAAACAAAACACCATATGTTTCTTAAAATTTTTGGATGTAGATTTTTATGACAATGTTTTTAAGTTTTTTATTTTTTTATTGGTCGATTTTGCTTACCCTTTTTAAAAAATTTATTATACAAAAACTAAGACATCTAGAAATATCTTTTTTTATTACCGCAAAGCTATAAAACTGTAACATTTTTTTAGTGTGTTGCATTTGTGAAGATAAAAAAATATAGACGTTTGTTAAAAGTTTAATAACTTAAAATATTTAAATGAAACACCCTATTTATTGTTTTTGCATTTAAGAGATTATTAAATTGTCTTTCCAAAATTATTTACTTTTAGGTGTTTATAATCAATAACTAAAAAGATATTTAACTTTAAACATTAAAAAAATATTGTTTGAGTAGCTAAAAAATGCACAGTTGCACAAGAGATAGAAGAAATATCACTTAATAATCACATTTATGTTACACTGAATCCATTATTCTTTATTTTTACAATAAAAAAAAATCAAATTTTTGTATTTATGTCAACTTTTCGTATCTCCAGATAAATCAACGGATAAGTGATCCGTGGTGGAATTGTTGCAACAGTTAATATTGCATGTTAAATTTTTTTATTTATCAATTCTAAACATTTAAAAGTTTATATTTTCAGCTAGACAATTTAACGGTCTATTAGATGCAAAAACAATAAGTAGGGTATTCCATAATTTTTTTAAGTTACTTAATTTTTAAGAAACTTCATCATTTTTAATCTTTATAAATGCAAAATACTAAAAAAATTGTTACAGATTTAAGTTCTGTACTTTTTTTTGTAGAAGTAAAAAAAAAATTGTTCTAGCTGTCTTAGTAAAAAAAATTTAAAAAGTGCAAAAAAACAAGTAAAATCGACCATTAAAAACATTGGCTTAAAATCTATATTCAAAAATGCTAAAGAACATAAAGTGTTTCATTTAAAAAACACAAATTTGTATTGTAATTTATTTTTAGAACATGCTGTGTAGTTGAAAATAATTTTAAGTGATGCACTAGATTAGTATCTATCATCTATGAAAGATCAATAATAACTTTGCCAACTCTGAGACACCTATATATATATATATATATATATATATATTGTATTTCACTAACTATTAATAATTTTGCAAAATGATTTAAAATTGACACTTATACATACATATTACTTTTTTTAATATTGTAATGTACTCGTATGTAGATACAAATCAATTCAATTTCCTATATAATTTTTTTTTAATTTTATCATTTAAAGGTCGATATTGAACTTTACCAACTTGCTTGGACACCCTGTATACGAAAATACTAGCGTTCTTTTACATTAATAATATATTTATTATTATAATTCTTATAAAAGAGAAAACCTAGTCATATTTATTTGTCCGGCGCATCCACCATTTCTGCCGAAATAATTTATGTAGATACTCTTAATTACTAAAATATTTTGTTATTTGATATCATAATAACGTGTTTATGTAATATTAAATATGGTGGGATTTTTCATAATTAGATTCGATGTTTGAAGTAAAGTAGAACCCACGTGAAAGTGAGCTTTTTATACCGAAATATAATTTCGCCAAACCCAGCCGTTTTCCGTGTGTTAGTCTCCACTTCACTCCTCTCTCAAATGTTAATTTGTTTTTCCACACATTCGACCAAAGCGTTTTTTTCTTTAGTTTGTGTCGGCAGTGATTCCTGTGGACATATTAGTATGTCCCATTAGTAGTTTATTTGTCGAAATGAATGATCGTTGGTTGGCGTGTTCCAGCAAGCATACCGGCGGTGGGTGTGCAGTTATCTGGTGCCTCATTTCACACGCGCAGACGAGCGCGTGCGGCCCTGTCTCAGTGTGTGCCAGGACGTGGAGCAGCAGTGCCCATACCTGTTACCGGGGGACTGGACGAACCAAACCGTTCCGCCGGGGGAGACGGCTCATCCCACGCCACAGTACGCCGGGGAACCCACCTTCCTCTGTCTCGGTACGTAGTCGTATCATCAAACGAATTATCAGAGCTAATAAACCTTATCACCAGCATACAACATGCCCCCAAATTTGCGCTATTACCACATCAAATCTCCTCAAACAGATTCAATCCGACCAAATTACTATGACCCCAAAGCTGCCCTCAATTCTAATCAAGATTTAAATACTTCTAATGGCAATAGTAACATCACTGTTCCTAAGTTCAGTGTGTTTACTATTTTTTATTCAACAAAGAAGACGCAAAAACAAGACTTTAAGATTTGTCCCAATTGGATTTTTCTACATCATTAGTTGAAAAAACTAATTAAATAATAATTTATTAATCGTTCAATACTACATTAAAATACTTGCTTACACTCGTCAATATAAAAAATAAAATAAAAACAATAAAATCCTCGTACATACTCGTTTAGTAAATAATTGGTGTTTTTGTAAAATGTGGCGTCAAAGCTATCGATGAAAATTTATTAGTCTTTATTCTTTTTTAATTTACAATAATTTTTAAGGAAACGGGTAAATAATTAAAAACTCTAACAGCTGCATAGTAACAATTTTTCCACAGTTGTAAGTCAGAAAGTCAGGAATTTTGAGGTGCCAAGTCTTATTGTTATAAGTGTGGTTTGAATTCAAGTTTAATAATATTTCTTTTTAAAAAAATATAGAAACTAGTAATGTAGTTACCGTTAATATTTTGTTTTCTTTAAAACGGTATCTGCAGCTGTTATTGCATTTAGTTTCCAGGATTACACAAAGTGCATTCTTTTGCAAACAACTTATTCTGTCAATTGTGCTGCTTTGCCCAAAAAAAGTCAAAATATTTTTTTAAATCTAAAAGAGTAAATACTAGAACAGTTTTCCTATACCAGGTGAATAAAAAGTATGGAACCAAACGTTTTTTGCTTAAACTGTTTATGTTTTGGAAAAACTAATTGATAAAGTACTATAAAAATGTGATGTTTTATCAAAAATAAAATTTTTCGAAATTTTCTCTTGTTTTTGTGTTCTACATTTTTTTTTAAATGGCAACTCACTATAAAACTATTTTTCTCAAGAAGGTTATGATTTAAGGATTACAACTGTCTACTTTATATTTAATTTAAATTTTTTTTTTTACATAAATTGCAATTTTGACAAAAAAAAACGCATAACTTTAAAAAAAAAACGATTGGTTCCATACTTTATATTCACCCTGTGTGTACATTCCAATTTAAATTAATGACTCACTCTGAAGTAATTTTTAGAAAATTTATTTTGCTTATTTTTAAAGTAGAGAGTATAAACTTTGACTTTCTTTTATTCAGTACTAATACTACTTATTGTTACTGCATCATTTTTACCAGACTTAAGGACAAATTTCCTGTAACCTTATAGTATTAAATTATTATTTATTTTGAAACACAGTGTTTTTAAACGTCAATTTAAAAAAAAATACTACTACAAAACATGTAATCATAACAGCCAAATAAAAATAACAGAAAAACGGAAAATAAGCAAGAGGTTTGGGAAAATGCAAAAACGAGAACACACGTTAGAGTATACGGCAATAGTCAATTTGTTTTACAAATACCAAATAAATAAACACTTTGTATAATATGTATTATAAGTATTTGCTTCCATAGTTTTTTATTGAGCAATTATAATAAATTTTTATTAATAAATTAATCATTGCTGCATAAATTTTTAATTTGTGTGCAGCTTATTAAATTAAGTTTTGAAGGAATTTCAAACAACTTTGTATGAAAACTTTTTATTAAAATAATAATACATTTGCCTGATTTCGTGGGAGATGGTGTATAGGACAAAGGAAATAAGACCATTAAATTCGTCGCGACCTTTCGATACCTTTATTGTATCTTCTTCAGGTAAAGAATTTTTGTTGGCTGAACATGGGAAGCATGGCACAGTCATGGAAGAACTGACTTTCATGGTTTTATTTCCCTGGTCCTGTATACGATCCCACGAAATCAGGCAAATATATCTCAAGGACAAGCATCACAAAATGGGGAATAATAATACAAGCGATAACTGACCATATAATATACAGGGTGATAGGGTGAACAAAAGGCATAAATTATTAATTATTTGCCTACAGCAGATTATAATTAATTAAAATTACAATACTATATAAATGTGAACGCGTTTTGAGTATCATATTTTCCTGTGTTTTTGAGTTATACAATTTTTTTTCAAAAGGGCAACTTAAATGAAAAAGTTTACGATAAAGATTGAATAAAACGTAGATAGTTGTAATCCTTACATTGTAGCCTTTGTAAATTAAGTTTTATAGTACGTTCCTATTTAAAAAAAAAAAATTGTGCAAAACTCGAAAACTAAAAAATTGTAAAAAAAATCATACTTATAAAACGATCACTTTTTTATCGTACTTGATAACGTTACAAAAATTTAAAAAAAACACATCTTAAAGGAGCGTAATTTAATTTTTATTGAATGAAAACAGCTAGAACCAGCTGAAAAATGTTAATGAAACTAAGTGGTAGTAAATTCAGTATTAATCTAGAGACTTTACGTTAAATTTTTTTAAGCCAAATAAAATGGTTTTATGACCACTACATCATAAACTTATATATTACGCTACATTGTTTGTAGTGAGACCCTGAGACTGAGATATAAATGTAAAATTGTCAATGTTAAGAAATAATTTAAATACACTGGCGGACACGGAATTTTGGACATCAAATTTATGTCAGTTCAAAAAATGACAATGTAAGCCATGTTTTATTGTCATCATGATTGACATTTGAAACTAAAATTTGAAAGTTTTAATTGAAATTTAATTTTGGCGTCGATTTTCCGAAACAATAATGCCAGCAATACGTATTTTAATATAGGTTCAATAAATTATTTTGATTTGTTGTCATTTTTTCTCTAGCTGTCAGGATAAAAATTACAAAAACCGAAAGTGAGGTTAGTTGCTTAAGGTCCGTTTTACATTTTTATGTCAGTCAAATGACAAATCGTCCAAAATTCCGTGTCCGCCAGTGCATTAACATAAAACATTATTATATTTAGGGTATTCAAAAAAAAATTAGAGGATTGGCTCTTTAGGTTAAAATAAAAAAAAAGTTTTTATGGACCTCTGTCCGGAAATGCATCCTAAAACAGCTAACAGCCCTTGAAGATAGGGGGCAAAAAGCCTCTTATTTAATTATCTCAGTAATCGGTAGAGATACCTAAATTTATAAAAGTTTGCATCTGGGGTACTTTTTTGGTGTTGAATCTATGACTAATGTTACCAAAAATGTGTACCCTTATTAGGGAAACGGAAACAATCTCGAATCAATCTATTTAAGACGTAAAATTTTGCTTTAGAAAAAGTTTTTTGAATTCTTTTTTTTTGGTAGATTTTAATTTATTGGCTAATTATCTTCAAAAAATGTTTTTTGTTTTATTTTTGTACGACGCACCATTTTCGAAAAAAAAAGAATTTTTTATACTTAATTCCGAAAAGCAATCCACAGCTCTAGTTTCCTTTGGAAGAACTTTTTTCTTATTTTGATCTAGGAATAAACCACTTACCAAAATTTTTCAACGTTTTTCCGGATACCCATACATACGAGTACATGATCTTTTAAAAATAATAATGTAAAATAATATGTACGAGTATTTTTTATTTAATAAAATAAAAATTGGAAAAGTACAAACCAAAACTTGTGTGCCCCACAAGATTTAAGTGACATTTTGTCATCCAATTCCATTAATAAGTTGTTACACTACAATGTACTATTACATGGTTACGTCATAAATTTGATTCCGGCAGGAAAATTGTAGGTAATTTAAGAAAGTACTTCTAGTAGAATTGAGTAACATAAGTAGTTGCTAGCTTACAACTCAAATGTATTAAATTGCTTAATAATTAATTGATTAACTTTCTAATTTGTTTTTAAAAATCACTACAACAAAAATAATCAATACATGCATGCAATAAAAGCTAAAACCGAACTATTGTCACCGTTATTGACGCTGTTGCTTCTAATAAAACTACAAAGTCGTTTAAGAAAAAGATGCACTAAAAATTTTGTACTAGGTAATAAAACTTTGTAGAATGGCTCAACTTACAAGTGCACTTTGAGGTTCAATCACCTTTTTATTTTAGATAAAATAAATCAAATGTAAGTCTAGTAGTTTTGAAATATTGTTACTCCAAAAGCATATTTTTTGCCTAAATTACGCTGATGTTCCAAGCTCCTGCGTTCCAAATTAGGGAAAAATGGAATGAGATCGAGACAATAAGAAAGTATATGATGTGTATATAAAAGTGCAAACTCCTTCGTTGAATTTTCCACCCCGTTTCTTCATTCCTCAAATATTTTCCTCTGATTACACCTTATTTTCCGTAAGAAAGGTGAACGCCACTATTTACATATTTGATTATAAGAGCGCGCCCGCTGGTATCATTATCAGCAATCCGTCATTTTCTTTTGAACATGAAAATATAATCTGGATATCCGATTTGCATGTCGCCTCCGTCTCCTCCTCTCCTCTAATAACGACAGGTTTTATTAAAACGACATCTGGCCTCGCGCAGCTTTCTGATAAATATCAAATGAAAACGAATAGTGGAAGGGCAGTTGTGCTAAACCACAATTTAACACGATTACGGTTGTAATTGAGATTGGCACGATATCTGAGAAGACGGACGGCCATACTGCAGGTCACGTCCCTCACTTCGAACTCTTCCAGAGGGACCTTAACGGTTTCGAGATCAATCGATAAGCCACACGGCCCTCACGAGACCTTTTAACGATGCGATCACAACTCTTGACGACCATGTCCGATTTTTTCACTCTTCCATCAAGCTAAACAAAATTAAAAGCTTTCACTTGATATGCAATTTGGGGCGAGTCTACCTGCTTCAACAAAAGTAATTAAAACTCAGCAGTCGCAAAATTTATAGCTTTTAATGAAAAGAAAGCGCAAGGGTTACAAAAAGTTTTATTTGATTCTGGAAAGTTGCAAATTTTTGGACTGTGTGAG